TCCCTGCTCCATAGACATCTCTAGTGATAACTCAAACCCTTTCATCTCCTGGGCAAGAATACATCTCCAGTGATAATTAGAAATATCCATTTAACCTGTTTCAAACGAGGTAAAAAGCCTCCATTTAAACGGAGAATAAGAGATGGAATAAGGGAGGAAGGCTTCCCCGTCCCTGCGTCCCTGCTCCATAGACATCTCTAGTGATAACTCAAACCCTTTCATCTCTTGGGCAAGAATATATCTCTAGTGATAATTAGAAATGTCCATTTAACCTGTTTCAAACGAGGTAAAAAGCCTCCGTTTAAACGGAGAATAAGAGATGGAATAAGGGAGGAAGGCTTCCCCGTCCCTACTCCATAGACATCTCTAGTGATAACTCAAACCCTTTTATCTCCTGGTCGAGAATATATGTATTAACATATTAAACTCTATTTAAGTTGCCCATTCTAAGTAGAGTTAGCTACAAGTTGATACAACATGACGATAACAGACACTTAAAATAGGTTTACGAGATTTAGGGATATCTATTTAAATTTCTAACATTATGAATCAAATTTAAATATTAAATTTGAACTTAAAAAGATACATTTTTTATGATGACCCACAAATAGAGGTTAAGAAAAGGCAAGAAAATGGCAGTTAACTATTTTGAGGCAAAAAAAATTGAAAAATATTCAATGGTCTTCCACCACTTAGAAATAGCTGTCATTCCAAGTCTTTTTTAGCAAAGTTTGACCTCAAAATTTTCACCTGAGCCATTCAATTCAACCACTTTTGAAGAAAATAACAGACCAAATTCTTCCACCTAAACCCAAAACAACTCCTCTTAAGATCCATCTCACCTCCTATCAATCTCCTGCACAAAAAATATACACACAAAAACAAGAACAAACCAAATGAAATCCACTTTTTTTCTCTATTCTCTTCATTTTCATAACCCATTTCTCGTTTTTTGTTGTTGTCCATTGTGTTTTCACTCAAAAGTTTCATCGAGAAACTGAAGACGGTTCGGGTTATGGAGCAGGAACACGAAGGTTTTCGAGCTAGATTTTTTTCAACTTAAGACAAACATACGAGAATACAGACAGACACACTTAGCGCTTGAGTATAGAGACTGCCAGAATGTTGGACTACAGCATCGATGAAGAGTTGTCGATGTCGAAAAGACAGGGTTGGACACTACTTCGCAACAGCTCGGCTGTAAAATGCCAAGCCATGCCACCATTGGCACCATCAAATTGGCCCGAAAGGGGTTCGAAACCGAAGTTGAGCAGCAAGGACCACAATGCTGCCAATGATAAGGAAGCATTAGACCCGATCGACATAGGTTCGTGTTTCTTTTAGTCTTTACACTTTCGAAATATCCGTATCTTACACGGCATATCCTTGTGTAACTAAATTGTTTCTTCCAATTGGGTTATAATTCAGAAATGGAACAGATGAAAGAGAGGTTTGCAATGTTGCTGTTAGGGGAAGACATGACTGGGGGAGGGAAGGGTGTTTCCTCAGCCTTGGCATTGTCTAATGCTATCACAAACCTTGCCTGTAAGTGCCTAGAATCTCTTACATGGGCTTAGCTAGCAGCACAGAAATTTCTATTGGGATCTAAACTTAGTCAGCCAAATTTGCAGCTTCTGTCTTTGGTGAACAATGGCGTCTTGAGCCAATGTCACCTGAAAGAAAAACAAGATGGCAAAAAGAAATCGATTTGCTCTTATCCGTTACGGATTACATCGTAGAGCTTGTTCCTTCACAGCAGAAATCCAAGGATGGAACAAATATGGAGGTAGCCATCAAATTTCAACTATGTCATTAGAATCCATTGATATGATTGTTCCTTCTTTTCTTTTGCTATAGATAATGGTGACCCGCCAACGAAATAACTTGCGCTCGAACATCCCAGCTTTGAGGAAGCTTGATGCTATGTTAATTGTAAGAACTATGGGTTAAATCTACTGTTTTTTCTTTTGTTTCTGCTTCTTATATGATATTGGATTGTCCACAACAAAACACAGGAGTGTCTGGATAACTTTAAAGATCAAAATGAGTTCTACTATGAAGCAAGAGGTGCTGATGATTCAGAGAAAGGAAATAACAAAAAGAAGCTACCAACAGTTATAGTTCCTCCAAATGGTTTATCTGAAGCGTCGAGAAAGTTTCTGCAGTACCAGAAGGATTGTGTCAACCAAGTTCTCAAAGCAGCCATGGGTATAAATGCTCAAATCATATCAGAAATGGAGATGCCTGAAGACTACATTGAATCTCTCCCTAGAGTAAGCAAAACCGAGTAATGTTTGGAACGGTTTCAAAACGAATCTTCACTCAAAATTTAAGTTTTGTTTATGGTTTTACAGAATGGAAGGGTAAGCCTAGGGGATTCCATCTACAGAAGTATAACAGTTGAGTTCTTTGATCCTGATCAGTTTCTTTCCAGCATGGACTTAACATCAGATAATAAGATCCTAGACCTCAAAAATAGAATTGAAGCTTCCATAGTGATTTGGAAGAGGAAGATGAACCAGAAAGATGGAAAATCTACCTGGGGTCCGGCAGTGAGCTTGGAGAAGAGAGAAATTTTTGAAGAGAGAGCTGAGACCATCTTGCTTATACTGAAGCACCGCTTCCCTGGCGTCCCACAATCTTCACTAGATGTCAGCAAAATTCAACTCAATCGGGTAATAGAATGCACCTTCCTTGTCTATAATCTCATCTGAAATCATTAACATTTGTGTGTGCTTGTTCATCTCAAGTTATGTGTTTGCTAACCTTTCTGCAGGAGCCTGTATTTTGGATTCATACTCATAAACCACATTCTATACTCCATACTATCCTTCATAAACCATAAGCCCACCAGTTCAACAAGCTGAAATTTCTATAAGTTAGTTCTATTCCCCACTCCCCGAAAAGAAATCTAATCTATTTGATGAGATCCCACGTCGGTTGGAGAGAGGAATGAAATATTTTTTATAAGGGTGTAGAAACCTCACCCTCGTAGAAGCCTTTTTAGACGTGTTTTAAGATCTTGAGGGGAAGCCCTTTAAGGGAAAATCCAAAGATGAAATATTTTTTATAAGGGTGTAGAAACCTCACCCTCGTAGAAGCCTTTTTAGACGTGTTTTAAGATCTTGAGGGGAAGCCCTTTAAGGGAAAGTCCAAAGAGGACAATATCTACTAGTCGTGGACTTGGGGTGTTACAAATGATATCAGAGCCAGACACCAGACAGTGTGTCAGCGAGAATGTTGGCTCCCAAGGGGGTGAATTGTGAGATCCCACATCGGTTGGAGAGAGGAACGAAACATAAGAGTGTGGAAACCTCTCCCTAGTAGACGCTATAAAACCTTGAGGGGAAGCCTTTTAAGGGAAAGCCCAAAGAGGACAATATATGCTAGTGGTGGGTTTGGGCTGTTACAAATGATATCAGAGCTAGACACTGGACGGTGTGCCAGCGAGGACGCTAGCCCCCGAGGGAGTAGATTGTGAGATCTCTCATCAGTTAGAGAGGGGAACGAAACATAAGGTGCGCAAACCTCTCCCTAGTAGACCTATAAACCTTGAGGGAAAACTCTTTAAAGAAAAGTCCAATATCTGTGAGTAGTAGGCTTGGGCGGTTATGCACATTTATAGAAACTAAAATCAAAGCTTCTTTTTAACTCTAGGCTTCATAAACCCATGCTTACTAAAACTCTTCCCAACATCTCCTAAATGACATGATATGTGAAATAACAATTCTATGTCCATTTCTTTGTCAGAGTAAGCAACACAGCATGTCCATCTACATTATAGGATACAGAACAAACATGTTGTAAATTCCTAGTAACTCTTGCCTAAAATCTTTCAAGATCAATCACAACTTACTCTTGCCTGAACTTCAGGATGTAGGACACGCCGTTCTAGAGAGCTACTCCAGAACTCTGGAAAGCTTGGCCTTCACAGTCATGTCTCGAATAGAAGACGTACTCCACGCCGATAGCTTAACTCAGAATCAATTTCGAACAACATCGAGGAGGAAACCAATGAACGAAACACCACCGGCAAAGTCGCCACGCCGAAGAGAAGATGCGCTCAACAATGGCCCAGAAACGCCGACTTCAATGACACTGTTGGATTTCATGGGATGGGGCCAGAAACAAAGCGAGACGGAAGCAAAGAAGGATTCATCGAAACAATCGGATGATCAAAACACGGATGTAGCGACGAAATAGAGGGATTCGTACCTGGAGAAGTTGAGTGCCGCCAGAAGTCCATCATCATTCATCCCGCCATTGATGAAGAGAAATGAGAACTTTTAGTTTCATAAAAATGGTTTTCTTAGAGATTAAACCATAATTGATTTTCTAGTCATTTAGTTATGCTCGTATTTATTATTTTTTAATATAAATTTATTCCTTTAAAATATGTAAATTTTAACATAAATTTTATTTTTACCATTTAGGATTATTTTTTAAGAAATTTAGTGAATGAAATTTTAATTAAAATCGAGATAAAAAAAAAAAAGAACCAAAATAGACTAAAATAAATGTTAATATTTATTTATTTTAAAATTTTTAATTTAGGTTTTCAAGCTCAATATATATTTTAAAAAATTAACTTTTAAATAATTAAAAATTATTTTAAGAATAGTCAGATAATAAATATATATTTTTAAAAATTAACTTCTAAATAATTAAAATTTATTTTAAAGAATTGTCCGATCATAAATATATATTTTAAAATTTTAATTTTTAAATTATTAAAAATTATTTTTAAGAGTTATCATATGATATATTATATTATAAAAAGATTTTTTTTTAATTAATAATAAATTTGTTTGATTTAACAAATTCATAAATTCATTTATTTATTTATGAGAATATTTGATTAATCCACCTATTTAGAATCAAATAAATTATAATAATGTGCTCTCCCACACACGATTCCCCCTTCTCCCACACACGATTGGTTACCATGTGCTCTCCCACACACGATTCCCCCTTCTCCCACACACGGATTCAAAACCGTTCTCATCTTCGTCTTCAGTTCGGATAACCCAAAAATCCCTAAAAAATGTCTGCTCTGAGTCCCTCATCCTTTCTGCAAATTCCTCCATTACAGAGGCTGAAGAACCTCTCAATTTCCACTTCCTTCCTCCATGGCTCAGTTCCTCTGTCATTTCTCTCTAAGCCTTCGCCCTCGCTATCGGCCTCCCAAACCCCCAATTTCCTCCCCTCGATTAAGGCCATGAGGTCGCTGCAAGGCCGTGTGGTCTGCGCTACCAACGACAAGACCGTCGCCGTCGAGGTCGTGCGATTGGCGCCTCATCCGAAATACAAACGGCGCATTAGAATCAAGAAGAAGTACCAGGCGCACGATCCGGATAACAAATTCAAGGTCGGAGACTTTGTGGAGCTTGAAAAATGCCGGCCGATCAGCAAGATGAAGACGTTCCTGGCCATTCCAGTTCCGGCGAGGAATTCGAAGCCGAAAGCGGCGGAAGCCGGTGCTGGAGAGCTCGGGATTCCATTGGAGTCGCAGGAACAGGTTTAATCGTAATCGGTTGTTTTTGGTGAATCTGATCTTGTTTGTGCTTGACGAATGATTCGTAATTGTTTTTCTGGATGCTACATAGATGAAACTGAGCCAAGTCGTTCAAATTTTAGAATCTTTATTCGAATTCTTTTTTGAGCTTTTCATCTCAGCAATTTGCTGTTCTCTCTCGATTCTTAGCTTTTGTGTTAGAAAATAATTTGATTTAAATTTCATCAAATCGTCGTTAATTTTTGTTTAATTCAGTGGATAGATTATAATAAACTAAAATTTGAATTTCATCCATTGGAACCTTAAACTAAGCAAGTATAATCTCTTATGAACAAGATTGATCATATTTTCAAGCTTAATATCTAATCTATTAGTTATTCTAATATGGAAACGTGAGTCTCTTCTCAACTTCTCAACTTCTCAACTTCTATAAAACATGTACTCTCGATTTAGAAATCACATGTTTGAATCTATCAACTATATATTATATTATTGAAAGACCGTAAATTTTAATTCGTATGTGATATACATTAAATGGTATTTCCTTGGCCAAGTTTGAAATTCAATTGTTCAAATTGTTTTTTCTTTAAGCATATAAATTATGTGGGTAATAATACATGTTTTATGGCAGTGAAACGTTCACTATAAAATAATTGAAATAATAAATTTAGCTATAGTTAAATTAATAAAAGTATCCTTAAATTTGGCATAAACTTTTATAGTTAAATTAATAAAAGTATCCTTAAATTTGGCATAAACTTTTAAATCTTTCTAGAATACTTTTCAATTTTAAAAAAAAATTAAAAAATATAGAGTTGTTAATTTAAAAAAATATATGTTTCAAAAATACTCGAAAACTAAAAAAAAAAAAAAATTATTAGTACTATTGTTTAAAAAAAATATTATAAAAGGTTAAAGATAGCATTAACAAATTTGACATTTACAAAATAAAATTTTAAAAATTATCGTTAATATATAGATAAAATCGTATATATATATATCATAGATTATTTTTTAAATTTTTTTTAAAAGTTTAAAGGTTATTTATGAACCTTTTAGAGAGAGTTTTTTTTTTTCTTTGAAGATTCTTTTAAAAATGGAAGTATTGACGAAACTTTTCAACCCTTAAAAGTTATTTTTTAAATATTTTTAAAATAAAATATTACCAGTTTATGTTAAAAAAAATGTGGAAGAATATGTTTGAATTTTTGTTTAAGTTTAAAGATAATTTAATATTAATTTACACACATTTCACTTTTTGTTGCTTGGGCGCCTCCTTCTTTCTCCCGCCGTCCACTCTCCTCTGGTTCTCCTTCGCTCACAGTCGCGAACGACTGACGCCGATTCTCCGACTGAAACCAGTTCTTCTTCAATCGCAGTCGCCACTCTCACCGGCGAGCACTCGGCAGCAACAGATTAATTACGTCTCTCATCTTCAGCAACGGATTGGCTAGATCTCTCCGTCTCCAGCGTGACCTGAGGTTTAATCTCTCTATCTCTGGCTCTCTCTATTTCTATCCAACCACCGCCTCCTTCATTTTACGGCCGCCGGCGAATCTGTTCCGATCCCAACTTTTCCCCCAAAACCCCAAACCGGAATAAACCAAACCGAAACAGATTGCGGTTCATAAACTAATTTCTCTTTTTCCTGATATCGGTTCCGTTTTCGGCTTAAGAAAACCGAATCGATAGTCGTTATATTCGATCGAATTGGTTTAGTGGCTGCATTTGTTGCCCTAATGGTGGGAAACTGGGGCCTGAGTGAATAACGGTTTCCTTCAAGGTTTCTGTTCCAATCCTCGCTTCCTGAATTGCTAATAGCTTCATGTTGATGAATTGATTTTAACACCTGATACGGTGAGCATGTCAATTTTAGTTATTCTAAATCCTTATTTCCTTCTGTGTATTTAGCTGATGTTATGCTCGAAGGCTCCGAATCTAAGAAAATTGAGAACTGAACCAGTTGGTCAGTTTGAATTCACAATTTTTTTTCTTGTTTATATTTAAAAATCTTACAGGATTATTTACTCTACACAAATGAATGATAATGATATTAAAAGTTACAAAATACTATATAAAAGAATGACGAACCCTTGATTTTTTGGTGGAAATTCCTGCTGTTTAAGCTAAACTCTTGAAATTTTGAGCAACCTTCTTGGCTAAATTGGGTATGAATTTATTTTGCTTTTCATTTGATCGATTCCACAGAACCCATTGAGAATTCTTAGTATTCTATATGAGGAAGAACAATGGGAGGTAGATTCGTAATGTTTACTTTTCCCTGTTTGTAGTTTTGATAAGATTGTAACTGGAACTTGATCTGCTTTTTTCTTTTTTTTCTGACTTCTCGATGTTAATAAGATTTTCAGCTGTTTAAAGTTTGAACGATTTATCTTTAATTTTTTGGTATTTTCTTGCAATTGCAATGCAGTCTGGTCAGAGCTGAGGTATCAGAGTGTCTAAGATGGAGAGTGATGCGGATGCTGTGAAAAAAACGCAGCTGGTGGAGGCCCGAGCAAGAAATATTAGTCACAATGTTAGGTGCATTGAGTGCGGTAGTCAATCCATTGAAGATTCACAAGCTGATATTGCGATTCTCCTTAGAAAGGTACCAGTTATTTAGATTGAACTCCATGCTTAACAAGTTAATTTAGCCGGAAAATCAGGGAAATTCTGGGAAAGAATTATAGGGAAGTTCAAGAGTCCTTCTCTCTTGTGCAAAATTGTCCCTTTTTTCCTTTTAAAGAAAGAAAATATATATATTAATGATGAAAAACAGGAAAAGCTCCTCATAAGAGTGCACCATATCGAGATTATAATAATAATAATTTAGTCCCATGAAGAGGAGAGGAGGCCGTATGTAACAGCCCAAGTCCATAGCTAACAAATATTGTCTGCTTTGACCCGTCATGTATCGCGGTCAGCCTCACGGTTTTAAAACGCGTCTACTAGGGAGAGGTTTCCACACCCTTGTGAGGAATGCTTTCTTAACAATTCACCCCCTCTTGAGGACCCAACGTCCTCGCTGGCACACCGTCCAGTGGTTGGCCCTGATACTATTTGTAACAGCTCAAGCCCACTGCTAACAAATATTATCTGCTTTGATCCGTTGCGTATCGCCATCAGCCTCACGGTTTTAAAACGCATCTGCTAAGGATAGGTTTCCACACCCTTGTAAAGAACGTTTTGTTCCCCTCTCCACCCAGAAATCTTCCTTAGAGTTGTTTTGCTACATGATGATTTCTCACAGATTTGTTGAGTTTTCTACCTTCTGCCAGTAATTTATGATCAATATTGTTTTGCATTAAACTTGCTTGATGTTTGGTCGTATTTGTAATATCACCATAGTTGATCCGTGACGAGATTCGGTCGGGGAAATCAGACAAGGAGATCTTTAAAAAGCTCGAGAATGATTACGGGGAGACGATCCTTTATACCCCAAAGTTTGACCTCCAAACTGCAGCATTATGGCTATCACCGGTCAGTAAATATCAGTAAGAAATTCAAAGATTAAGTAAATATTTCTGCCCATTTCATGTAAAATTCTAGTTCTAAACATGTTACCTTGGAATATAGGTGTTAGTGGCTGGTGCTGCTGCAGGAGTATGGGCTTATAGCAAGTACAAGCAAAAGTCTAACGTTCATATCATGGCTTTGAATATCGTCAGGGGCGTTCCATTGACCCCTAGAGAGAAGCAAACCATGTTAGATCTCCTCTCACCTCCACCACCTCAGAGAGCCGCTTCTTTATGGTGGAGGAGATGGCGTAGCCAGTGAGGTAACTACTCTCCATTGCTAGCTCGAACAACAGTCCTAAGAATTTCAATGGCTTGGTTCAAAGACGAGCAACACAAAATGAAGCAATGAAAGCTCCTCACTGTGTCGTAATAATCACCTCGAAAAACATGTTTGGCGGTCTCGTTGAATAATTTTTCATGTCTGTGTCTTTTTTCTTCCCTCATTGTCCATTTTATGTATAAATAGGTATATTTCTTGAGTGATGTTATTGTTCAATTGGTTCAGACATGTGTTATCGAACATGTGTTATCGAACATGTGTTATCGATCAAGATTTTAGTAGTTTGAGTCACTCATTTTATTACATTGAATGCAATAGAAAGAAAAAAAAAATGTAAATTTCTTGAATTTTGATAATAAATGGCGGCCTTGATTGGGTGCTCTTCTAAGATCCTTGGTAAACTCGGGCTCCTGTGGGACCATATCGCCCGAGCAATCATAGTACGACCGCTTTTGGGGCTTAATTAAGTAGAATCGGGGATGACCCTACTTGCTCGATGCATCCTTTCTTTCAAACTAGATCATAAATGTCTGCCCGAACATAACCCTTTACGATAAATAAAACCCACGAACCCAATTCTTAAATTTTCCAAATTTCCCTCAACAATTTTCATCTCAATGCCAAAACCCTCAAAACCCGATTCAATTCTTCCATCCATTGACCTCCGACGAGAAGCAAAGCATGTCAAACCAACGTGCTGGCATATGCAGATTTCAACTCTCCAACTGGCGACGAACTGGTCAAGATGCTTCGATAAGATCAAAACTTCATTTAAATCCAATCATGCGTTCAAAAAAAGGGGCTACACTGTTTTTCGTCAACTTTAAGAAAAGATTGACTATTCGTAAGTCGTCCCTTTCCATCCTTAATGATGTTGACTTCCATTTATACGATAAACTTGGTTGACCCAACTCTGTTTTATTCCGTTTGTTCTTCATGATTGATGAGTGGAATGATACAGTTTGGTGGAAGGGGGTAAGATTTTCACATTGAAAACTTCTTTAAAGACCAATAGCTTCAGAAACATATTGCATATTCATCTTTGATTAGGTACTGCTCTGCTAAGGCTCAGATGGATAGAAGCACAGGTAGTACTGGTTATGGTGGCAATACACAACAGGATCAACCTGGGTTCGCAGGTCCAAGCATGTACCAACCAAATACAGGTAGCCCACCTAATAATTTTACACAATATGCTGAACCTGAGCTCCCAGGTCCAACTATGTATCAAGCTAATGCAGTCCGTGGGACTGTTTGGAGCTCTGGATTGTTTGATTGCCATGAAGATGAGACTAATGGTTAGTTTTTGCTTTCGATTTTGTAACGATTTAGTCCATATCGTGAAAGTATTGGATTGATACTCGAAAATTGTTGTCTGGTAGCATATGATCTGAAGATCCCAATTATTTGAGATGTCTTTGGAGCTGTTCTTTTACACATTAGTTTCTGTTTGACAGCGGTCATGACAGCATTCCTTCCATGCGTGACATTTGGACAGATTGCAGAAGTAATGGATCAAGGAGAAATGAGTAAGGCCTTCTTTTAACCTTGAGGTTGCGTGAGATCTCGCGTCGATTGGAGAGAGAAACAAAGCATTCTTATTAAGGATGTGGAAACTTTTTCCTAGTATCTGTAAGGCCAACGACGATACGTAATTGGTCAAAGTGAATAGTATCTGTTAGCAGTAGGCTTGGGCTGTTACAAATGGTATCAGAGCTAGACACTGAGCGGTGTGCCAATGAGGAGACTGGGCCCTTAAAGGGGGTGGATTGTGAGATCTCACATCGGTTGGAGAAGGGAACGAAGCATTTCTTATAAGGGTGTGGAAACCTCTCCCTAGCTGACACGTTTTAAAACTGTGAGGCCGACGGTGATACGTAATGGGTCAAAGCGGACAATATTTGCTAGTGGTGGGCTTGGATTGTTACAAACGGTACCAGAACTAGACACCGGGCAGTGTGCCAGCGAGAACGCTGGGCCTCTAAGGGGGTGGATTGTGAGATCCCATATCGGTTGGAGAGGGGAATGAAACATTTCTTGTAAGGGTGTGGAAACCTCTCCCTAGTTGAGACGATATGTAACGGGTCAGAGTGGACAATCTCTGCTAACAATGGGCTTTGGCTCTTTCCAATGATTACCATTTCATAGCTTCCATTTGTGTTAAAAGTTAAATGAAGGTGTTGAATGTTGCTGATATGTTTGTGATACTCATTGCAGCATGTCCTTTGGGGAGTCTTATATATGCTCTGATGATGCCTGCTTTGTGCTCTCAATGGGTGATGGGGTCAAGCTACAGAAAAAGACTGAGAGAGAGATATAATTTGGTAGAAGCTCCATACACTGATATCATTTCTCATGTGTTCTGCCCATGTTGTTCACTTTGCCAAGAGTTCAGAGAGCTCCGCAAGAGAGGACTTGACCCATCCTTAGGTACTTATCATTCTTTCAATTTCATTTATGAACTGTATAGCTCGTTCAGGAACTTTGTTAAGCATTAGCAAACATCAGTTTTGCTCCCCATGATATAGCTTTTTGCCCCTCAAGTTAGCCTCTCGTAACTGTGAGATCTCACATTGGTTAGGGAGGAGAACGAAACATTCTTTATTAGGGTGTGAAAACCTCTCCCTAGTAGACGCGTTTTAAAAACTTTGGGTGGAAGTCTAGAAGGAAAAGCCCAAAGAGGACAATATTTGTTATCCGTGGGCTTGGGCTGTTACAATTGGTATGAGAGCTAGTCACTGGACAGTGTGCCAATGAGGATGCTGAGCCCAAAAGGGGGTGGACACGAAGCGGTGTGCCAGCGAGGACACTGGACCCTGGAAAGGGGTGAATCGTGAGATCCCAGCTGAGCCCAGAAGGGGGTGGACACCGAGCGGTGTGCCAGCGAGGACACTGGGCCCTGGAAAGGAGTGAATCGTGAGATCCCAGCTGAGTCCAGAAGGGGGTGGACACCGAGCGGTGTGCCAGCAGGACACTGGGCCCCGGAAAGGGGTGAATCGTGAGATCCTAGCTGAGCCCAGAAGGGGGTGGACACCGAGCGGTGTGCTAGGGAGGACACTGGGCCCCAGAAGAGGGTGAATCGTGAGATCCCACATTAATTGGAGAGAGGAATGAGTGCTAGCGAGGACGCTGGGCCTCGAAGGGAGGCGGATCGTGAGATCCCACGTCGATTGGAGCGAGGAACGAGTGTTAGCAAGGACGTTGGGCCCTAAAGGGGGGTGGATGGTGAGATGCCACCTCGGTTGGGAAGGGAGAAGCATTCTTTATAAGGTTGTGGAGACCTCTCCTAGCAGACGCATTTTAGAAACCATGAGGGGAAGCCCGAAAGGAAAAGTCTAAAAAGGACAATATATGCTAGCGGTGGACTTAGGCTGTTACAAAAACTCTGTTCGTTTCTTCTCTTTGTCATTGGGACTTTGAAGGCTGCCATGATATGCTTAGTTCATTCGTAAATGAATCTTACAAATCACCTCTACCAACTACTAAGTAGCTCAGCTTAATAGCTTACAACAGGGACATGTTTGGAAGTGGTTTAAAACATGACAAAAGTGATTTTAAACGTTTTATAATCACTCCCAAACATGTCCTAACAGTTAAACTTGTGTCATGTAGCAGTTGTGTCGAGATGTGAGCTATAACTTATGAATGATTATGTCTATCCAACATGTTACGTACAGGATGGAATGGAATTTTAGCTCAAAGACAGGCAGCACAACACGAGACAGTGGAAGTTCCTCCTCCAAGACAAACCATGTTTTAATCATCACCCGAAAACATGTCCCAAGTTTTCTCAACTTTCAATTATGTGCTTGGTTCTGTCTTTTTCTTTTGTTCTTTTCTAGTCAAGTTAGTAGATTCTTGTTATTTTTATAAATGTGTGTTTCTTTTTCCCCCCTCCAAATATTTGATAATTGCCATAGTGCCCTTGTTTTCTATCTTACAAATGTATTTGAATGCACTTTTAATGAAAAGTAGATCAAATGTTATTATTATTTTCAACCAATAGTTAATAAGATTATCGATTCCGACATATAAACGTCACTCGGTGTTCCTCTCGAATTTTTGTAGATGGATGAATCGAATTTTATTGGTAGGTAAGGAAGAGCACTGTTCATTCTCTTCCACTCCCTTTTTCATCTTGGTTGGAACGAATCTTTGCGAGATCCATCTGAGATAGGTTAAATAAACATCTCTATATCCAACTCTTCCGATTTTTTTTAAATAAAAAAGGGTAATTGATTCGTGCATCATTCACGAAGAAAGTCCAACAACATGGGGAGTGTTTCGATTATTTAAATTTTACACACCGATAAAAGAAAACGAGATGCATGTTGTAACGTTGAGTGGTCGGGAGATCGAACCATGGCAGAGGGGGGCTGTTCAAGCATCAGAGTGGCCCCATTCATCAACTTTTGAGGCCACAACGCCCACATTTTTCATGTCAGTGATATTATCTGTGTTTTTTACCATCTCAAAGCGTTATAATCTATGAATTGTTGTTAGAAATGGAAAGGATTTGGAGTAGAAAGCTCACTTACCCTGATGGATTTTGGGAGTGGCAGCTGCCGTTGCATCACTAAGAAGAGTGATTGAATGGTAATCCAAAGACACACCATCAAAAACTGTCTGTCTGATGCAGTTTGGCGTTTGAACACCTACAAATTCAAAGGGATGCATTGGTGCATGGTAGAGACGGAAAATATAATCTCAGTACTCGTTTAGCTAACGGTGGTGGGGTGGGTGAAAACGGAAAATATAACCTCAGTCATTGTGTAGCTAACTAGGTGTAACAGCATAAGCTCACGTTTAGTAGATATTGTTCGTTTTGGCCCATTACGTATAGGCGTCAGCCTCTGAGTTTTAAAACGTGTCTATTAGGGAGAGGTTTTCATACCCTTATAAGGAAAGTTTCATTCTCCTTTTCAATCAATATGGGATCTCACAATACACCCTTTTAGGGGTCCAACGTCCTCGTTAGCTCACCGCTCAGTGCCTTGCTCTGATACCATTTGTAACAGCTCATGCCCTTTGCTAGTAGATATTGTCCATTGTGACTCGTTACGTGTCCGCTAGGGAGAGGTTTTCATACCCTTATAAGAGATGTTTTGTTCTCCTCTCCCATTGATGTGGGATCTCACAATCCATCCTTTGGGAGCCAGTGTCCTGATACAATTTGTAACAGGCCAACCTCACCAATAGCAGATATTGTCTACTTTGACCAGTTACGTATTGTCATCAGCCTCACTGTTTTAAAACACGTAGGGAGAAGTTTCCACACCCTTATAAGGAATGTTTCGTTCACCTATCCAACCGAGGTTTGATCTCACATGGAGAGAAGTCTCTCCTCACTTTCTCTCCCGTTTTTCGTTTAAAGGGAGATTCCTCACCCAAATCGACGGGAATCCTTAGATATCGAGTATAAATGGAGTATCTTACCAGCAACAACCAAATGAGTAATACCCATGCCCTGCAGAAGGGAATGCAAGTTAGTATCAAAAAAGGCACTAAACCTTGTTTTCACCAACTTATATTCTCCTTCTTTCATTTCAAGGCCTTCTACAAGCTCTGCCCCTCTGCTTCCCTTTGCAGCTGGCTTCAGCTTCCCATTGCCATAGTAATGGCGCCGAAACCGTTCCACATCTCGTCCTTCAGGATCGTGCTCTCGGACAACCTACGACAAAACAAAAAATGAACAGCAATCCCCGACATGCATAAACCTAAAACAACTCAAAATAACTGTAGCGATCCCGGTCCCTTAGTAGATATTGTCCTTTTAGACTTTCTTATGGATTTCTCTTCAATATTTTTGAAAAACATTTGTTAGGGAGAGGTTTACACACCCTTATCAAGAATGTTTTGTTCTTCTCCCCAATCGATGTGGGATCTCAACTATTACAAATAATATCAGAGCTAGATACTGAGCGATGTACCAACAAGGAGGCTGAGTCTCGAAGTGGGTGGACACGAGGTAGTGTGTCAGCAAGGACACTTGGTCTCGAATGGGTGAATTAGGGGGTCCCACATCGATTAGAGAAGGGAACAAGTACCAACGAGGACGCTGGTTTCCGAAGGAGGTGGATCGTGCGATCCCACATCGGTTACGGGGGAGAATAAAACATTGTTTATAAGAACGTGTTTTAAAAAACTTTAAGGAGAAACTAAGAGCAGAAAGTCAAAGAGAATAATATATCAGCTAGCTAGCGGTGAACTTGAGCTGTTATAATAACAAACCCAGATAACGAACACGCCCCGCTTTCTTGCAATCTCGACAGCCCGATACACGCTTGGAAGTATGGCGCGGGCTCCTGGTATAGCAAACGGAGAGCCTTCGTCGATGAAATCCTTCTGAAAACGAAGAATTGGAAGAAGGTTAAGAAGAGAGTTGTGGATGTTGAGAAGAGAATAAGAAAGAACCTGCATGTCAATGACGAGAAGAGCAGTGTGATTCCATTGATCCGCCATAGCCAAACAGCTCCGAGCAATAATGAGTCTCTTCAAAGAAAGAAGAAAAATATTGAATTGAATTCATGAACTGACAAGATTGTCGGCTCAATTATAAAAAAAAAACACAAGTTAAAATATGGGTTTGTCGTAATGTTTGTCCCATTGGGCCTACAATGGTGTGTTGACACTTCAATGCCTCGCCGTCAAAATTAACCAATCCAAACTTAATGATACAACAAATTTAATTTTATTGGTGGGTGGGTCGTAGCTTGGTTATTATATTGAAATTTAGAGGTAAATATTAAGGGTATATTTGATTCAAGATCGAGATTGAACTCAAATAACCGTTTACACCTCCAAATGGTAGTTTTGGCGATGTGTAGCAACTGGCAGTGTGCTAGAGATCCCACATTAATTGGAGAGGGAAACAAAACATTCTTTATAAGGGTATAAAAACATCTCTCTACCATAGGCATTTTAAAAACGGTGAAGCTAACGATGATATGTAACGAGTTAAGGCAGACAATATCTACTAGTGGTGGGCTTACGTTGTTCCAAATGGTATCAGAGTTAGTCACTTGGTGATGTACCAGCGAAGACGTTGGTCCCAAGGAGAGTGGATTGAAAAATCCCACGTCGATTGGAGAGGAGAACAAAGCATTTCTTATAGGGTTATAAGGGTGTAGAAACCTCTCCCTAACATGCGCATTTTAAAATCATGAGGCTGACAAGCTTACAGTAATATGTAACGAGCTAAAACGGATAATATCTACTAGCGGTGAGCTTGGGTTGTTACAATTTTACCTTTGTTGTTTGGCGCGTTGTACCTTGGTTACTATATTGAAATTTAGAGGTAAACATCAAGGGTAAGTTCCATTCAAGATTAAAATTGGACTCAAATAATAAGTACCATAAAAACTAACCGTTTACGCCTCCAAACCGTAGTTCCAACAGTGGCGGTGTGTAGCAACTGACAATAGCAGTGTGCTAGAGATCCCACATCAATTGGACAAGGAAACAAAACATTCGTTATAAGGGTATAGAAACATCTCTCTACCACACGCATTTTTAAAACGGTGAAGCTAACGACGATATGTAACGAGCTAAAAACGGACAATATATACTAGCGGTAGGCTCGTGCTGTTACAAATGGTACCAGAGTTAGTCACTTGGCGATGTACACGTTAGGCCCCAAGGGGGTAGATTGAAAGATCTCACGTCGGTTGGAAAGGAAAGCAAAACATTTCATAAAGGTTCGAAGGGTGTATAAACCTCTCCCTAACAAACGCATTTTAAAATCGTGAAGCTAACAAGCTTACGAGAATATATTACAGGCTAAAACGGATAATATCTACTAGCAATAAGCTCGAGTTGTTACAGTTTGCTACGTTTATATGTTTTTGCACTGCACTCGCTTAACAAAAAGGCTGGAAGATGATCGTAGATGATAGAATAGAGATCGAAGATCGAAGGTATTCCAGTCCAACACATTTTCGTTAATGGGTCGGAGGGGATAGAAATTTGAATATCTAATCTTTTAAATTAATGGAAATGAATGTAATTATTTTGTGAAATTAATCTTAATTAATTATTAATTTTTTATTGCAAACATTCATTAAGGAATAAAATATATTTAATACGCCATAATACAAAATTAATTAAGTGGGTTACAGCTCAAAAGAGATTATTAATAAAGGCTAATAAAAACAACGATATTTATTAATTAACAAAAACATTATATATGATTAAAATAATCCCTAATAATAATAATATTAATATTAAAAAGGATTAAATGGAGATTAATTAATTAATTAAATCAAAAGCCAGTTCCATAAGTGGTGTCAGCTCCAAGGAGGTGTGTGCATGAGAGTGGTACCAAACAAAGCCCTCTACTCCTCAGCTCCTTCAATGGCTTCTCTTGCCTTTTCCTTTCATCTCCCTAATAATAATATATTACTTTCCAATTTATATCATATAAATTTAATTTTTTAGAAAGAGAAGCGTTCGGTAACTGTTCGTGTAGAAAAGTAATAGAAGTGTTCGAAAAACCCGATCAGCCCAACCAAATTCATATGATTTAAGTTGGATCCTATTTTAATTTGTTTGAGTTTAAATAAATGAAAATTTTATTAATAAAAAAGTTAGATCAGATAGTAACTAATTAATTTAATATATATACATATATATAGATATATTTCTGGTAAAACAATTATATATGCCTATAATTAATGGTTTATTTATAAGGTAATTTTTTTTAGATATATTATTTAAATCGAATGGTAAAACTTTTTAATGTTTCAAATAAATAAAAATATGAATAAATGACCGAACCAACCCAACCCAAAAAAAATTATGGTTGGATTGGGGTGGGTTCATTATTTAATTAGAGTGGTTTGAACAGCTAGAACAACTGGAATGAGTTTTAAAAAATGTATCAATCTGACCTACAAACATCCGTATGAAGAAAATTTTGAAATTTCGGTAACTTTTTGTAAAAGTTGGATTCTATCAATTTTGACGATAATAACGAGAAAGATATAATGGTAAAGTATAAAAAGATAAGGGTTTGAAATTGAAACTTTTTAAAGAATAAAGACTAAAGTGAAATGGACGCTTTAACAATCGAGACTAAAACATGTGTTCAAAGGAGAATACCGACACGAGTTTTTCAGAAGCGGGATTAGCCAATAAGAAAAAAAAGTGTTTTAATAAACTTTTAATGTTTTTTTTTTTTTTTTTAATTTTTGGGATGACAAAAACAATTAGGCAGCCCCAAGCAACACTTTTTTGGGTCACCTTTTGAGCAAGTATTTAAAGGTGAATATAAAGCTAAGAACCTTATTCCTTTTCATTCCCTTTATTTTCTTCTTTATTTCAATATTTTTTTAAAAAAATTTTGATTCATTTTATGATTTATGATGTCAAAATCTTTCATTTGCAAAAATGTCGGTGGATATTTTAGGACAAACCCTAGAAAAACTCGTGAAAATGACTCTAATCAATAAAACCAAAGTTAACCATTCTTAAACGAATCATTGATCTTCATTGTCATCAAGTTAAATATTTAAAAAATTTCGAGAAAAAAAAGTAAACCCTTTTTAAATAAGCTCTCAACCATCATAACCCAAATCCAATTTTTAAAAAAGGATCGTACAGTTAAAAAAAAAGATATTACTCGTTAAAGAACATTAATCCAAAATTTAAAATTTTTAAAAACATTACTCATTCATAATCATAACTAAACTCGTCAATTTATGAAAGCGTATGAACTTTATGATCAAAACGAAAACCGACCCATTTTAAATAAGCTTTCGAACATCATGACCCAGAAGTCGAAATTTTGAAAAAAAAAAGTTAGTAAAAAAGATATTACTCGTCGATATTCATACGAACGCCCTCGAATGCATGAAACTATTTAAGCTTTAGTATATACTTACAAGAGGCTGGGAATTCGTGAGCTCTTTTGGAGCACTTCGCAGATAAGGGTAACTAAGAGCCTGCCAGTCAAAAAAGGAGAGAAAGCTATGAAGATCCAGAAAAAAGAATGTTGAGAAAAGCATGAGATTTTACTGTGCCTTTTTTACCTCTCAATCTCCACTTACATAATGATAATAGGGTCTCTTTTACAGAGCTTAAAACTGTAAATGGGTAAAAAAAAAATAGGCTTTTTACCTCAATTTGTCCCTGAAGAAATCTGATATACCCAATAGCTTCTGACAACACCGAGGCAGTATCAGTCTGCAAAAGGGAAGGGAAAAGGAAAAAACAAAGGTTTTACTCATATGAAGGGTTTTAAGTTAGTGTTTAGAAGGAAATTACTGTAGTAATAAAGTAATAGTTAAATTATACCGATACCCGTGAACTCTAAGGTAAGTTTTAAGCTCTCGGGTTTACAAGAAAGTTTGAGATGAAATTTGAGGTAACGTGTAAAAATTGAAAAACGTATGTAATATCATTTATAACATTATTCTCGTAAATTGATTTTAGGGTAAAAATGAAAATTTTTAAAATTTAGTGAAACATAGTAAAAACTCGAGATATTTTATGTAAATTTAACCTAAACCCTAAATTTTACCTTTCCGAATGGAGAGACGATTTGGTGAAGAGCTGTAATTCGATCTACGAGCTTTTCCTTCCTCACCTGTTATTATTCGATCTTTAAACTTTTGATAAATTTTTCATAAATGGAAGTTTGGAAGTAAAATCTACCTTTAAAGGTGGTTGGGTTGAAGAGGGCGGATGAACCCTAGCTTTCTTACACGCTCCACCGCCGACTACAGCGGAGCGATTCGACTCCAACGAGCGGTCGGGGTCGGGGCCGCCACCGCCACTGCCGGAGACGACACGGTTGCTCCTGTGATGTGGGTTGTTACTATTACATGAAAAGTGAGCAAAGTTTGGATTTTTTAAGATTTGGTGTTGGAAATTCTCCAACTTTGTTGGATGATAATGAGTAATCTGGATTTGGTTGAAAACCCTATGTTATTGGTCTCTGATAATACAAAAAAGACATGGAATTAAGAGCAGAGAGAGAACAAAAGTGGAGAAATTAAAGAACATCATATAATTACATCACAAATTGGCTCCATGTCTGAGGCTGTTCAGCTAAAGAAGTTGTCCACCAATTAGGGTTTCCACCCATCATTTGCTTAAGTTCAGCTCTAGAATCTATGAGGCTTTTTGGAGGTGGAAGAGAACTTCAAAATAGCTATATATATATACATATATATATATATATATATATATATATATATATATATATATATATATATATAAAATAAAATATACTCTTCGGGTTTGTACTATATTTTAAAAATATTCTTGAATTTTCAAAATTAACGTTAAAAAGTTGAGAGATAATCATTAGACAGGGGAATAAAGCATTCATGATATGAAAATCTCTCCCTAACAGACGCGTAATGGAGGAGGTCAAAAGGGAAAGCCCAAAAAACTTGAGGGGAAGTCTGGAAAAGAAAGTTTTAGAAGGACAATATGTGGATGAGTACCGGTTCTGTTGCGTAACTTTGAAAAAGCGGGCAATATCTACTAGCAGTGGGTTTGATAAAAAGTGATTCAAACATTCACTCTCAAGAAAATGATTAGATGCCCTAAAGTATTATCCCGTATGCTATAGTTTCGTCTACTCTAATCTTCAAGCTCCTATAAGTTATTTTTCGTTTCACTCAACACAACATAAAATGACGTTAGTTCAAACTATATCATTATTAATGACACCTTAGTGAAGAACGTATACAATCGAAACTACGTATAAATAAAAGTAACTATAAAGAAATAATAATTAAGAAATGCTTACAAGAATTGACCGTTACTACTCATACCAACAAAATGCAATGGCCTTTTTGATAACTCAATCATAGAAATCTCAAAATTAAATGTGTTTAACTCGAAACAATTTTATATTGGGTGACCTTTTTAAAAAATTTCGTAAAAAGCAGATGACCGAAAACAAATCATATTAAAAAACTCGTATTAATGTTAGGGAAAGTAAGTAACATTCGATAGATATAAATTTTAATATACTAATTATTATTCAAACAAAATGATTTGTTTGTTTATATTTTAATAATATTAAAAAAAATTAATTATAATATATATATATATATATATATTTCCTTTTTATTGTGGAAAAAGTCAGATGGGGATATTATTTTTGTTTTTTGTGTTAAAAATAATAATTCCAACCACTCCCTCCTGAATATTATATTTTAAGGAAAAATGGTTCCCAATATTCCATTTTTGCCCTTCTCACAAACATCAAACTTCAATTTTACACTCACCTTTTCAAATTAAATAATCTTAATTGACAAATGGCGTAATGGGCCTAAAAAGGCCCAAATAAAACGAACCCTGGTAATGGGCCTAATCTGACCCAAACTATAAAACGAACCCTGGTAATGGGCCTAAGCTGGCCCAAACTCCGTAAGAGGGTCTTTTTTTTTTTTCTTTTTCTTTTTCTCAATCCTTTCGTTCAATGAAGTGTCGTTCAGTTGTTAAATTTTTAATAATTGCATTTATGGACCAAATTAGTTAATAATCCAAAAGTAAATAGAAATATAATACATTTAAAAAAGAAATTACAGGTTGGGTCAATTTTCAAAAACTGCCCACTAAATCTTGAAATTGCATATTGACCTCATCGGCCATCTCCATTTCCCCGAGCCTCCTTAAGCCCTTGCTCAAAACCCTAACCGTATAATCATCGGCTTTAATGGTGGATCCCCAACCGCTCCTCTTCATCATCCTATAAATCCTCACCGTCGATTCCCTTCTATCCCCACCAATCACCGCCTTGATCAACTTAATCAAACCCTTATCATCGCACTGGATCACCCTATCTTCATCTTCCAAATCGCAAACCAACCGGTCGATTTCCTCCATCGCTCCGTTCCTCGATAACGCCGCCGCCACCTCTGCGTACATCCCTAAATCGGCGCCGTACTCCGATCGTACGACGGCGAAAACCTCCAAAGCGAGGGCGCACCGGTCCTGCCGGAGGAGCTCCTTTAAGGTGGCGACGAGGTCGGCTTTGAGCAATCGGGAGAGCGTAGTGGAGAGGACTTGTTCGAGCTTCGTCGGGTCGGATTTCTCGGCCCGTTTTAGAGATTGAATGGCTTGGATTGCTTCGGTGCTTAGGGTTCTGCCTTTGACTAGCGGTCCTCGGTTGTCCCGAGGACCGCAGCGTACCGGAAGGGAAACGACGACGGTGGCGGCGGCGGAGATCGGAATCGGAATCGGGATTTGAGATTTGAGAAACGTGGAGTGAAGAGAGAAAGCCATGGCGTAGTGCAGGTTGGGTAGCGGATTGGGTTTTGGCAATGACTATTGTACCCTTTTGCTGAGCGTTGTGGGAGAACTTGGGCTTGGCCCGGGAATATTGGGCCTTGTAACTTGTCTGTTTAATTTATTTTGTTGGGCCGTATGTTGGAAAAGTTGGGCCCAATAACTGAATAATAATGTAATCAATCCTTGAAATGAAAAGGACAGGTCATCATACACGTATTGAAAAACACCACATTGGAAGTGATAAGCCAGCTCGACCTCCAACATTGCTTTGGAATTGCCACCTCATTACGTACATTTTTTTAAAACAAAAATTATAAAATAATAATCCTAAAATTTTTAAAATGAAAAACTAATTAAAAAGTTAGATAATTTCGAGATTAAATTTTATTTTTTTTAATTCTCTTAAATAGTAATTTGATTCATGTTAGATGAAAGTCCCCTGATCTAGAGAATGATCATGAGTTTATAATCGTGAGGCCTCTTGGAGAAGCCCAAAGTAAAGTCATGAGAGCTTATGCTCAAAGTAGACAGTAGACAATATCATACTATTGTGGGGAATCGTGTTCGTCTAACATAGTATCAGAGACATGCCCTCCAAGCCCTAAACTTTCTCCAAGGCTCGAGAATTGTTGGGAGGGAGTCCTACGTTAGCTAATTTAGGGAATGATCATGGGTTTATAAGTAAGGAATACATACACGAGGCCTCTTAGGAAAGTCAAAAGCAAAGCCACGAGAGCTTATGCTCAAAGTGGACAATATCATACCATTGTGGAGGTACGCGATTCCTAACAGGGTATCATACCATTGTGGAGGTATGTGATTCCTAACAGGATATCAGAGTCATTCTCTAAACTTATCCATGTCAATAGAATTCTCAAATGTCGAACAAACGACTCAAAAAAAAAAGGAGTCAGGCTCCTCGAAGGCATAGTAAAAAATGACTAAGACTCAAAAAAAAAAAAAAAAAAAGTGGAGCCTCGATTAAGGGAGAGCGTATTTTATTATTTAAAATTTTGAAAGTTCATAGATATTTTTTTAATCTGCGAAGCGAGAATATAGTTCACCTGGTTAGAACTCGGGATTTTTATATATACTTTTAGGGTCATATGATATTTGGTGCACTTTAAATCTAAATTGGAGGTATAGAGATTAGAGTGGCATATATACGTGAATTTTATAATGGATATGGTGTAGGATGAGAAAGGGGCCGAGTTGAGGCTGCTGCTGCTTGTTGGGAGCCACCAGCCGACCACAGCGTGCAGTTGGTCGAGGCATTTTCTAGTGGAATTGGATTTGCTTTGCTTTCTTTTATTTTTTTTTGCAATCTATCAAAAAGTAAATACATTTTTAAATTGGATCTTCTAATTTAATCAAACCTTATTTTCATTCATAATTATAAAATAATCCCCACTTTATAATATGCTTTTATTTGATTTTATTAAGCAATAAATTCAAAGCCTTTTAACCTAAATTCTCTTTTTGAACACGAGAAATTACATAAGTAGTTTAGCTCAAGAGGAAAGCTACTACCGTATATGGAGATGATCATCAAGAGCTCCCGAAATAGGGTTACTGTAAACATACCCTCAAAAGGTGAGGGATATAGAATTTACTAAGTTATCGAGGTTTTACGTAGGTATTTTTCGAATATTTTGTGGGGTATGTTTTATATTTGATGAAATTGACCCACGTTTTCAGTAGTAAGACACCTAAATATTGTAAGTGATTCTAGACAAAAAAAAATTACCCTAAAGCTCGAGCTCCAAACAAAATCTTACCTATGGTCGAGTTTAGAGCCTATTCATAAGGTTAATCGGACTTAAACCTCTTAAAAATTACTAAATAGTATTAAATGCCGAAAATAATAATCATACTAACCTCTTATATCTTTAATAAAAATGAAAATTTCAGCAACATATTTTAAATAAAATTAAAATTTTAATAGTTTATTACTAAAATAAATAAAAATGTTAAAAGTTTGAGGCTAAATTCGTAATTTAAAACAATATATATTTTAATATTCAGAATGTAGAAATGTTGACCCAAAAAGTCAAAATTCGTACTTTCATGTGTTTTATCAAGCCTATGTCTACGCGACACGTAGCCTCAGGTGAAAAACGAGACCACAAATCATGCGGCCTATGGCTTGCCACGTAAGCTGTAATCCGGACCCACGTCAGTCTACGGTCAAATCAGATAGCGGCGGATTCTTTGCTTACATAATAACAAAATAGCAAAATTCTGAAATTTATTATTATTTTAATCGTACAATAATTAATTATTTTAATTTTTTTATCGTCATAAAACATTAAGGTACTGTTCATTATTTTATAAATTAATAGATATTTCTATATTGGAGTGCTTTTGGATGACTAGTTCATTAAAGTAATACTTCTAGACGTTTGTTATATTAATAATCATTTTTTTACAAAATTAAATAATAAATTAATATTTAACAAAAAATATTAGCGGTATATATCCAAATATAACATTTTGATTTATTGTAATTTAACTGTCCCGTTAACACAGCAAATCAACTCAATTGTTCGGGTTGTTAATTTTTTTAATCAAAATAACTTTATTAAATAATGAACCCATTCAACTCCATCCAACTATAAATTTTTTTTTTTTTTTTGGGTTAAGTCATTTTAATCAAATTTTTATTTTTAATAAAAATAAAATATTGATTTATAATATTTATTTATTTATTTTTATTTCAAATATGAAAAAATTATAGTACGCAAAAATATATTTTTTAAAATTAATAATCAATTTAAATTGGTTCGTTTAACTCAATATTATTTTATGAAAATTTATAAATCGAATACAATTCATAAATTTTTTTATTCGGCTTGAATCCAACTCAAGCAAAGCAGTGTAAATTAGGCTCGATTGATTCAGTCTTTCAGGTCATTTAGTAGTGTCGAATTATTGTTTCTTAGTCGGGTTCTCCTCTCCGACCTCTCTCGAGCTCCACCCGACCCCTACCGCCTTTTTTAAAAATTACTTTTAACTTAAAAAAGGGAAGAAAAAAAAAAGGGAAGTTAAAAGGGATGAGTATGAGATTGAAAGCGTGTGAAATGCACTTAGGTTAGGCAGAGGGCCGTGGGTACGAACGCAAAGCCACGCGTGGGGAGCAAATGGGTCACAATCCTCCATTCTCCTTGTCCCTCACTCCCACTATCATATTCTTTTTCTTTTTTTATTTATTTATTTTAACCCATAAAACCATAATTATTTGGTTGAACCATCAAATTAATGTCTTAAATTATGTTTTTTTGGATTTTTTAGTTTAAAAATTTGGGTTTGAAATGATGAGATTTGTTATTGCTATTGTGTGCTCATAATGTTTGTAAAATGGATTTAGATCTTTTTTTTTTTTCGCGATTAATTAAAAAATAAAATAGCGGGATTTATTCATATTCTTATATTTTTTGTTTTTTCCGACATTTTTAGATTTTTTTCAAGATTACAATGACTATGTAATTAAATAAAATATATATTTTATTATTATTATTTAATAAAATATGGTAGAAACTTTGGGAGTATTATTCAGCTAAAATACTTTTAAAAAATATTTAAAATTTTTAATTTTTTAAAAATGTTTTTAGAACCATAAATAATGCGTTTTAAATAGCTAAAAATAGTTTATATTTTTTAATTTTATTTTGATTTTTCTTTAAAAAAAACACAAAATAATTATTTTTATTCAAATGTAAAAAGAAAAGAAAAAAAAAAAAGAAAATCCCTTTTCTAAAAAGAAAAAAAAAAGGGAGAATAAAAGGTAATGTAAATAAATAAATAAATAAATAAAATTGAAAAATAAATAAAAGGAAAGTACAATATCAAATAATTCAGAGATTTGCTTCAAATTCTTTTAGACACTTTTTAAGTAAAAGAATTAAAACATAGTTTATGGACAAAAAAAAAAAAAAAAAAAAAAAAAA